CCAACACTATCACCAATTTATCATAAAAATTCCTACAAGTTTATATCTTACAATATTAAGCATCTCAAATTAATTAGATAACTACTGAAAATATTATAAAACTATGTGAACAAAATATACTAGCGATAGATCATGATTTTATGAAGCTAAAAAAATTGGTTTCACAATTTTCGGTAAACTACACAATTTTATATTGAATTTACAAGTTTACCTTAGAAACTAAATTAGAAAATGTTTTAGAAAACAAAAAGGGTCGGTGGCAAGCATTTGGCCCAGCAGCCCGGCTTGGCCCAACACGGAACGCGGGCATGCGCAGCAAGCCAGCCCAGCAAGCGGCCCAACACGGGATCCCTCGCGCACTGGCTATTTTATAGAAAAGACCTTGATCTATCAATTTATTATGTGGCACTATGCGCACTATTCCTACCATCAGTAATCTTGCAACCAAACCCTCGGATGTTTTTACCTTTACCACAGGGAGGTCCCTGGAAACCCTGCGCGCACCAGCGCGGCGACTGATGGCATAAGGTGGTTACGCCGGGCAAACTAGGCTCGCTACGACGGAAGTAAGGAGCCGACCACCATCTACAGCTAAACACGTAAGGATGGGTGACGATTAGTGACTCAGAGGCTCACGGTCATGAGCTGCAGCGGCGAGCAGCTATCCATGATGGTGGTGCTCCTGTTCCAACAAACCTATGTACGCTCAGCAGAGCAGAGGTGGCGGATAAACATCAGTGGCTCACCGTGGTGCATGCCCTATTGACGGTTGAAGCAGGGGAGCGCTGTGACGGTCTGGCCATGTGCGAGCCATTGGGGCAGCGGTGCTTTGGGATGGACACCCATGCATCACCACATCTTTGGTAAGCGCCCTGGCCAAATGGCGCGAGCACCAGATAGAGGAGGTCAAGGCGAGTTCATGGATACAAACAATTGAACCAATTCGGACCTTACCTCAATTTCACTAGCATGGTGGCGCACCTGGCCGGCGGCAAGAAAAACACCAAATTGGCGACCAGTAGTGCTCGGTTGCACTAAGGTGAGGGTCGGGCTGCTAGCTGGCTTTCCTCTCTAACTTCTAGAACGCTGAATTGAGGTGTGGTGCCCCGAACCACACGTATTTATCGTGCGAAGCGGGGCGATTCTGTCGGTGACAAGGGCAGGCGGGAGCGGTAGCTCTACAAGGATGTGCCTCAGTCGAGGCTGTGGTATTGAAGCAAGGCATCCACATGGGGAAGGCTCAGAGAGAGAGAGAGAGAGCGTCGTGGAGTGCTGTGATGGGACTGCTCAGCCATGGCGGGATGCGAGCGGCGGTAGTGAAGCAGCGATCGCGCACAGGGCCGTCTCGCAGGGCCGGTGCAACAAAACGATATGAGGGAGGGTAGTGTCAGCGTGACACGTCAATAGTACGACGTGGCCATGGAGGCAGGCAGCGGCTCGTCGAGTAGGTGATTCGAGCGACGGAACGAGTGCCATGTCGGCTAGACGAAGGCCGCCACGACATCGGCTTGGCCGACAGCGAGGTGCGGCAGCATCACACCGGCCAGTAGCTACAGGGTGTGATAGCGGCCCGCTGGGGTCGACCACGGCCAACCCATGGCCAGACAGGCCGACCGGGCTCGGTTCCGCATCGTGCGGAACATGGCCAGCCGCATGACACCAAGCGGCCGCGCGAGGTGACCATGCGCACAGGCTAGGCATATGACATGCATGAATTTTAAAGCGAAGCGAAAACTACTAACGATCACAAGTGAGGCCCAGCTAATTCCCCTATCCTATAATCAACATTACCAGCAACCTAGCAAAGCCATCGCCATGGCCAGAGAGCAACCAGAGAGGGGGGATAGGAGGATGCCAACATGAGCTCGTCACGCTAAACGCTAGTTCAGGAACAGAGCGCCAACAACGTGGTTTATAGCGCATTCCAACGAAGTTTGGGGAATTTTCATGAGAGCCACGTGATACCCAAGATAACAACCACCTATGCCATGCTCAAGTACTCACTTTGATGCAATCAACAATACCAAAGCATGCAGCTAGTGTTTAAACATTTTAGCTAGAATTTAAATGTCAAGATAGCATTGTCTTACTACTTTTCCCATACTTAGAAAAGTTAAGGTTCAATTCGAACTAACAACCATTAACACTTTTGTTATAATTTTTAAAAGGCCTAAACCCTATTAACTCCTACCAATAAGTATTTCATGCAATAGTCCATACCTTATACTAACCCATAGGAGCAAAATATTTAAGCACCATTTAACTATTTTGCTCAATATAATTCGACAAAAATAGTATTTTACACAATAGTTCAAGTGTTTGCCGACTTAACAAAAAGAGCTTATCTGAACGTCAAATTTGATTTTTGAGCTCCCAAGAGAACTAGTTAACACTATTTATTTTGATATTTTTTTCTCAACCACAAAAGTGAGTCACATAGAATTGTTTATCATTTCACATGCATTATAATTTTTTAAAACCCGAAACTTGTTTGGCTAATTCCTCTCGGTGCTAAACAAGCTCGTAACAACAGGGGTGTTACAACCGAGCATAGCTTCTCCTCTGCGCCAACTAACCGGACGTGCCCTAGGTGAGTCCGGTCACCCTGAGACCAGAGTCCGGTCAAAGACTTTCTCCTCCTTTCCTTTTTGTAAGTCCTCAACCTCTTCACCCTTGCTTTCAAGTTGCTAACCACAAAGTGTAGAACTTGTGTGCACGTGTGTTAGCATTTTCTCAAGCATTTTCAATGGTTAAATGTTAGCACACTAGGTTCCTAATGCATATGCAAGAATCATGTTACCTAGTGGCACTTGATAAACCGTTTAGCCAAAGAATTCCCCTCTTTATACTATGGCTATAGATCATAAACGTGATCATACTCTCTATAGTGTCTTGGTCACCAAAACTAAAACCCTAAGCAATACCTTTGCCTTGATCTTCATAGGGTTTTTTTTTCTCTTTCTTCTTTTGCAAGTTGAGCACTTGATCACCTTTTGGTCATCATCATCCACCATGATCATCCTCTTACTCCACCACTTGGTATGGGGCCATCCTTTCATGTCTACATACTTAGCACAATGATTAGTCCCTATGTTTCATCAATTATCCAAAACCAAACTAGGGCTTTCAATCTCACCCTTTTTGGTAATTGATGATAACCTATTTACAAAGATGTTCAATGAAATCTTTTTGGATTCATGTTGCTTGCCCAAGCATATTACCATGTGTAAAGGTTATGAACAAGTTTTATAAACCCAATTTGGTAGTATTAGCTCCCCCTACATATGTGCTAAGAGTTTATATTTGAAAGATTGCACATATGCATGGATTGGAAGTTTGGGAGAGTAATAGCTACCTAATGATGCTAAGGTATAAAGAATGGACCTTTGAAGCGTGATACCAATTGGAGTAGCCATTTGAACACCATGCTTAGCACCATGATTTGCTAGATATCACTTGAAAAGCAAAGACAAACTAGATACCTCATGAGATCAGCATTAGAAGCAAGGTTCTACTACCACTTGTAAAAGATCAAGGAATATCTAGCTATCCTATGCATGCTAGTTTTCATTTCATCAAACATTTTCTACAATCTAGCATACACCACACAAGCATGGATATGGAATTTAGAAACTTGTGCCATGCAAGCAAACATATGTAATGCTCATACAAATGCAACATACAAGTTTATGAGCTTGCTCCCTCTACTTGTGTGCTTCAAATTTTAATTGATCCCCTTATTTTGTCATAACAATTGTTTGCTCTCCCTATTTTACTATCTTTATGAAATTCTCTCCCCCTTTGTCAACAATTAGCACAAAAGGTGAGCTCAAATTTTAGATAGGTTGGGGTGAAACCATGTTAAGTGAGGATCATTTTTCCAATTTGGTTCAATCTAAATCACTTGCAAAAGATATTTAACTCGGTTTAATTCAAGGACAAGCTTCTTCACACCTCCAAACAAGGGTTATCTTGTACCATGTTGAGTTAAACATTTATAGCTCATTTTCAAGATCAAACACTAGGTTCACAAGCCCACAAACATGTCATATGCTACCACTAGATCATTTCAAGCATACATGCATTAGTGGTACCATACAAGCATCAAATTCATTTGATTTTCATGAATGAGCCTAAGACATGTGAGGAATGACTAGATACACTAAACAAGTCCTCAGTAATGGATGAATGACATATCAATCAACTTTACCTTGCTTTCCTCGAAGGAGAGGCATGTCATATAATGGGGGTGCTTCAACACATATTTGAGAAGTCAAGTATGTTTAATTTATTCCTTAGCTTGCAAAACATCTTCTCATCAAGTGGCTTGGTGAAGATATCGGCAAGTTGATCATCGGTACCCACACTCTTAATTGAAATGTCCCATTTTTATTGGTGATCTTGCTCGCTCGCGGATCGAGACGGATGCAGCGGCGGAAGGCGAGATTCGGCGGTGGGAGGCGAGATCCGGCGACGCTCCTTCCCTCCCTTCCCTTGCTCGCGGATCCGGTGGCCGGAGGCCGGATCTCGGTGGCGGGCGGCCGGATCTTAGCTACTGAAGGCCAAATCCAGCGGCGGGCGGCCGGATCCCGGCGGTCCAGTGAGGATGCTGTCACCGGTGTGAGCTGCGGTGGTGGCCCATGGATGAGCTCGCTGGGCTTATCCACGGGTTTTTTTTTTGTTTTTTTATTTTTTTAACCGAGGCGGGCATTTGAGCCGCCTCGGTAAATCAATGATTTACCGTGACCTTTCGACGACATTTAAACCGATAAGTTGCCCGTCCTAGGAAATCTCTTTTGCCCATCTCAGTTAAGTTTATCATAATAGTGAGTTATATAGAAATTTTATAGAAATCAGTTTATTTTTCATAAGAAAAAACGTAGGAAGTAGAAAAAATCCCATGTTCCGAAGGTGGTCTTATTCCATACATAATATTAGTGCACCCGAAAATAAAATCCAAATCTAACTTAAACGCATTGAAGGTATGGTAGGTATACTATCTAGTAGCCAGCAGGAGCGTTGGCGAGCAGCGCTTGTGCTTGTGTGTCGTACTTAAATCCTTGGCTCCTGGAATGATCGGCCGCCCAGATGAAGATTCCGTACAGCTTGCCCTGCGACTGCAGCGTCTGGCAAGCGCTGAGCGACGTGTTGATGGGCACCGACGTCGTGGTTGGCGCCGTGGTGAAGCTGGCCAGGATGTTGCCCCCAGGGTAGTTGACGAGCTGCTGGTTGAAGAAGTCCACGTACTGCGCCTCCGTCGTGCTGGCGCCGTAGGCGTAGAACTGGAAGTTGACGTAGTCTATGACGCTCCCGTAGCTCGCCCACAGAGCCTGGTAATGGCGCTGCACGTCGGCGTTGCCGTACGGCGCGATGGACGCGAACTTGATCACGCCGTTGCGCTTGAGCGTGGTCACCAGGCGGCCGATGCACTCGGCGAAGGTGGCCGGGTCTGCCTGGAACTGCTCGTAGTCGATGTCGATGCCGTCCAGGTTGTACTCCTGGACGATGCTGGTCAGGGAGGACACGGCGTTCTGCACCCACGAGTCCGCGGAGGTGATGTTGAAGAACACCGGCCGGTCGTTCACGGTGGCGCCGCCGAGGCTGATGGCCACCCGCACGTTCGGGTTGCTCTGCTTGATGGCGGCCACCGCGGAGGCCGTCAGCACCGAGTTCTGCCAGAAGATGTTGAACTGCCCGTTGGTCGGGGTGGGCGGCTCCGTGGCGGTGGTGTAGTCGATGACGAAGGCCATGATGAAGTCAAACCGGACTCTCGGGTTGATGGGAACGTCGGTGAACTTGACGCCATTGAAGATGGCGCCGATGTAGTCCCGGAACAGGTTGGAGTTGGCTGCGCTGGCCATTGGGACATGGACATGGACGGCTACAAGAGCCGGGACAAGTACTAGTGCAATCAGCTTCGAGCAGCCCATTGTTAAAGTATCTTTGCTTTGCAATGGCCAATGGTTGGTTGGATTGGTGGAGGTGGAGGTGGAGCTGCAAATAAAAAGAGCATCGGTGTATTTATATATATCTGTATGTACGGGCGGTGAATGTCAATCGAGATTATCAGATTAGTATAAATATATTTTTTTTCAAAGAAAATTAAATGGCGTTGAACGTTGAACAGTGGACTTTTCTACTACTACTAAGGCCCTGTTTGGTTGAGCTGTGGCTGTGGGAAAAAGCTGCTGTGGGCTGTGAGCTGTGGAAAAGCTGCTGTAGGCTGTGAGCTGTAGAAAAGCTGAAAGCTGTTTGGTTAAACAAGTATAAAGTATACCTTTTATCTTTATCTCTCTTGAAACAACTATGGAAGAGCTTTTTATTCCACCAATTTCGAAAAGCAGAAAGCCAAAAGCCAAAAGCAGGGTCAACCCAGCTTTCAAAAATTAACTACGGAAAAACAGCTGCTTCTGAAAAAGCACCCTCCAAAAGCAGTCTCTTTGGTTGAGCTTTTGGCTTTTGGGGCCAAAAGCCAAAGCCAAAAGCCCAACCAAACATGGCCTAAGTCTGAACGTAGCAGATCAGGTCAGAGATGTCAGCGTCCAGATTGAAGGAAGCTCAGGCTGTGTTTAGTTGTAGGAATTTGGATTTTGGGGCTACTGTAGCACGTTCGTTTTTATTTGGTAAATAGTGTTTAAATATGGACTAATTAGGCTCAAAACGTTCGTCTCGCAATTTCCCACCAAACTGTGCAATTAGTTTTTCTGTTCGTCTACATTTAATGCTTTATGCACGGGCCGCAAACATTCGATGTGACAGATACTGTAGCAATTTTTTAAAAGTTAGGGTGAAACTAAACAAGTGCTCATCAAAGTGAAACTGAATATGCTCCTCAGTAGCTGACCCTTACCCATGCAGTCAATGGATACGGAAGTAGTAATGCTAGATTACTGAAGATTATAACATTCTCTGAATGTTAGGTGCGCTACTGTGTTTTGATCTTCATTGCAGTGTTTGCTTCTTCCAAACAAATCTTGCAGCAGGTAACGAGAAAGTGCCTCCAACTTGGCATTTGAAGGTCTGGCAACAGCTCAGAGAAACGACTAATCTTGCAAACACATCTTGTTGGTCCACTTCCAGAAGATACAAATGAGAGGATAGGTACATATACCCAACCTACAGTTGACTTCAGAGATCAAATACACCACTATGTTGGCTTGGAATTTATCAAAGGTACCAGGGAAATGCTCTTGTTTGATCTAGATGCGCAGTTTGTGGGCGTGGGGCTAAATCCCTTACTTTCTCTGTTCTTATTAGTTACAGTGACAGGAGAAAAGGAAAGGACAGCTGCTATGTTGGACTGTTTCAAATGGATTATATAGGAGTACGTCTAAGAGTTTGACCTGCAGCCTGCTATTGGATACAAGTTCTGGTTTCAGGCTACTAACTTTGACCGAGAACGACGTGAAAATACAATACACCGAAAAGGACATGTGACAACATAAATTAGAAGAAACAATACTTTTCTGCAGATATTCGAGAATATATGCACTGAATGGAAATCTGATGTAGCACCAGCTAATGATTCGCAGAAGTAGCACAGTTGTTGTACAGTTGTAGCCATCACAAGTTAGCTGCTTCCTTGTAGCCTCACTTCAGTCTCAAAGACAGAAAGTGTTGCACCAACTACTGAAGAAGATTCAGAAGACATTCATCCGAATTCCAAATACAATAGACAGATTGACACGAACCGTGGACAAAAGGAAAGTATCAGGTTTCAATTGTAAACCTGGTAGCTAGTTCAGACCTGACAGAGAAACCCAATAAACGAAACTCGAGGCAATTGAAATGGCCAAAACGATCCATACGGGCACCCTGACATACAAGCCAGACACAGAATTCTGCCAAAAAAGTAGTGATTACAATTTGGCAGAGAGGAAGAATAGATAGGGAAAGGTGCTATAGAAAAATGTTTGTCCAAATGTAGACTAGCGAGCTGACGAGATGCGTCATCAGTAGACACAAACACACACTTGTATTAGAATGCATGGAAGTATTTCAAGAGCACATGCATTATCTTTTTTGAAAACTTCACGTGCATTATCTTAACAAAGGGTCACAGACATAGCAGCTGACAATTTGAGCGAGATTTATTTTATTCTCCACTATATTCTTGCTACAACATTTGATGAAGCTAAAGTCTGTTGGTCCCGAGATCTTCTGCACAGGTGAGCCGACCGCTCACCGACGTTCTTGCTCTCTATGGCTAGAGGTAGAAGAAAGGAGGAAGAACAGAGCGCACAAATACAGCACAAGCACCAGCGTTCGCCGGAGCTCTGCAGAGGAGATGACAAAACTGAACTCGCTCTCTTTACTGAGTTGCAGTGGGAAGCTATATATACAACTCTACCCATCTAATCCTAGTACACAGACATGTCAGGCTGCCATGCTGCTATAGTGACTAGATGTGACAGCAGGACTGACTTTTGCCCCTGCCCCTGATGTGGCTATAGTGCGGCAGGAGAGCCTTTTCGGTGCCTGCCCCTGCCGTGGCTACAGTGCTTCAGCAGGGGAGCCCTTTCGGCACCTGTCCCTACCGCGCGTACAGAGGGAGAGCAGCAGATTACTTTACAATTTTTCCCCTAATCTTGCTGCTAACCCTAGAACCTCCACCATGCCGATCATCTTCTTCAGCTCCGTGAACCGAAGACGGCCGAGCGGCTTGGTGAGGACGTCCACGAGTTGCCGACCAGTTTCGGCGAACTCGACGACGGTCTGCCCCCCCATCGACACAATCCCTGAGGAAAAAAAACTTGATGTCGATGTGCTTGCTCCGGTCGTGGAGAACCAGATTCTTTGCGAGGGCGATGGCGGGCTGGTTGTCCATCATCAGTGCTGGTGGGTGAGCTTCCACACCGGTCAGCTCGACCAGCAGCCGGCGCAGCCACACAGCTTGGCACGTCGCTGTGGTCGCCGCCACGTACTCTGCCTAGCACGTGGACAGTGCCACCACCTTCTATTTCAGCGACAGCCATGAGATTGGTGCCGACCTGAGGAAGACGAGCACGCCAGAGGTGCTCCGCTGTCCGTCGATGTCCCCTACCATGTCTGCATCGCTGAACAGAGTGAGCTGCAGCCCACTTCCACCGGTCTTGGGGAAGACGATCCCCTGATCCACCATCCCCTTAACATAGTGCAGTAGTCGCTTCACCACGGCCCAGTGATCCTCTCGGAGATCCTCCATGAAGCGGCTGACGTAGCCCACGACAAACGCAATGTCCGGCCTCGTGTGGACTAGGTAGCGTAGACCACCGACGATGCTCTAGTAGAGTGTTGCATCTACCTTCGCCGCGGTACTGGCCTTCGTCAGCTTCAGTCGTTCCTCCATCGGAGTCACGCACGGCTTGCACTCAGCCATGCCGCTCCGCTCCAACAGCTTCGAGGCGTATGCGCTCTAACCGAGCGTGAGTGCCTCCTTCCCCTGTCTCACCTCGATGCCGAGGTAGTAGGAGAGCGCACCGAGATTGCTCATTTGAAAACGAGCCACCATCTCGTGCTTGAAGCTGTTGATGTCATCCGCACGCGCGCCGATGACGATGAAGTCATCCACATACACGTCGACAATGAGCTCCTCCTTCCTCCGTCGCCACGTGTAGAGCATGTACTCGGTTGCGCACTGCGTGAACCCAAGCTCGCCCAGCGTGGCATCAAGCTTGGCGTTCCATGCTCGTGGGTCCTGCCACAGCCCATAGAGCGCCTTGCGCAGTCGGAGCACCCTATGCTTTGCTCCCTTGACGGTGAAACCCAGAGGTTGCCTGATGAAGACCGTCTCCGCCAGCTCACCATTGAGGAAGGCTGATTTTATGTCCAGGTGATGGACATGCCAGTCCTTCGCTGCTGACAAAGCCAGCAGCAGTCGGATAGACTCCATGTGCGCTACCGACGCAAAGACTTCCTCGAAGTCAATGCCCTCGCGCTGGACAAAGCCTCGGGTGAGGAGGCACGCCTTGTGCTTGACAATGGCGCTGCGCTCGTCCCGCTTGACCTTGTACACCCACTTCAGGCCGATCGGACGGCATCCTGGAGGTGGATCGATGAGCTCCCAAGTCTCGTTTTCCTCGATCACCTTCATCTCCTCCAGCATCGCCCGTCGCCAATTTGCATCGTGCTCGGCCAGTGCAAACGTGGGTGGTTCCTCTGCACTGACAAGAAGCAGCTCTAGGTCATTGAGCAATCAACCCGCCAGGCCTGAGGACCCTGTGCCGCCGACGATGTCGTCTAGCCTACGGAACCGCACCTCCTCACCATCATGGAAGGCATTCATGAACTCAGTGACTTCGCTTGGAGGTGAGGCAAACTCGATCGGCATCGATGGAGTCCCCTGTTCCACTGGAGTGGTCGACACAGCACCTGGGGTGCTCGGCACCCTGGCTGCAGCGATCGACACCACTATTGGAGTGCTTGGCACCCCTCCCGGAGTGCTCGGCACCGCTCCAGGAGTGCTCAGCACTAGTCTTAGAGTGGTTGGCACCACTGTAAGACCTCTTGGCTTCGCTACGGGAGCGTTTGGCACCCATCCTGAGTGGTCAGCACCACTATAGGACCGCTTGGCACCACTCCTAGAATGCTCGGCACCCCTCCCGGAGTGCTTGACACCGCCCTAGGAGTGCTCGGCTCTATTGCTAGAGTGGTTGGCACCTCCTCTCCAGCGTCTCCACCACTGTGGATGACCAAGTGCTCGACGACGAAGGTGCTGTGAAATCGCCAACTTCCCCCATGACCGGATTGTCCCAGTCCTAGGCCGCCTTCTGGTCGAGCACGACGTCGCACCAGACAACCACCTTGCCTCCGCATAGGTCATGGAGCCGATATGCCTTGGTACCTTCCTCATAGCCCAGGAGCACGATCAGTGTGCTCCTGTCCTCTAGCTTGGTGTGGACCGGCTTCGTCTTCCTGACATGGCCGATATAGCCAAATGTTCGGAGGAAGG